TACCCCTAATAAAATAATAATAATTTATTATATAAATATTCAAATGAAAAAAAAAAATACTCTAATAATATTTTTATCATCTTGATAACTAAAAATGAGCATGGTTAGAAAATGGGGATATGATGAAGGAAAAATAGAAGTTTGTTTATTAGCTAGATTTTTTTTTTTTTGCTAGATAATATTCATTGATCATGCATGAAATAAGAGAATGCTCGCAATTCACAAATCACACATAAACAAGTTTTTTATTGAAAGTTAGAATGGATAATTTAGTTTTCATTTTTCTCTTTCAATATCAAATTAGGGCCAACACATTCTTTCATTAGAAAATCTTAAGGTTGACTCTCTCTCTCTCTCTCTCTCTCTCTCTCTCTCTCTCTCTCTCTCTCTCTCTCTCCACAACACAATATAATTATTGCATCTATCAGCATGCAATAATTCCTTGAGCTCTAAAGGTTTAATTGCATGCAAATGTCCATTCAAGTACATGTGTCACATGCACCATCTCTATAAATAGACACTATTTAAGGATTACAATTCTAATAATTGGGGTTTCACATTAGCTTGATAAATATGAAAAGTTTGATAAAGATATAAGAATTACTTATTTCCATATAAATAATAGAGATATTAGAATTATTCATTGACATATAATTATAGACAATATATCTAATATTTATAATAAGAATCTATAATTATTATTACCATAATATATCCTCATTATTAAGGATATTTTTATTTATTATATTTTCCATTAAAACACTCTTCTATTACCTATAAATAGACACTATTATCTCAGCATATTATTTGATTCAATAAGAGTTTCAATTCTAACTTTTCTACTAAAGTAATCAGAGTTCTAGCATCTTATTGAGGCTAAGATTGTAATTGTCCCAAAGACAATTGGCAAGGCTAATTGTGAGTTTACACCCAATTCTTCATTTAATTTTCAAGTGTAATTTCATAGATATATATAGCATAATTTTATAGTTGTTTAAAATTGGACCATATTAGATATAAAGCCTTATAACATTTATATTTTTATGATTTCAGCCTTTCAACATATTGTTAAAAATGGTGTTTTTGGATGTTGAATTGACAAAAAAAGTGATTGTCTCTCCTGACAAGTTCAAGGGCTTAAATATTTCTTTTCGTAAATATTTAACCATCCAACTCTTCGCCAAACTTGGTCGTCATAAATCATCTAGGAAACGCGGCTACTTTCTTTCACCTATGTATATAAACTATGCTGATGACGGTCAAAAAAATAAGCGTACTAATGAATACACCTTCGAAGTATCTTTCAACTGCACCACTATGAAGCCATGCAAGGGTGAGATCTTGATTGGCATCGTATATAAGATTACAACAGATGGCATTTATCTGAAATCTGGGCCAATGCAAAACATTTTTCTCTCAGAAAATAAGATGAAAGACTACAAATTCTATATAGTTGAACAACTAGTGTTTGCAAATCCAAATCGAGGGGGAAGCATAAAGATAGGTACAAAGGTGAGGTTCAAAGTTTTTAAGGTTGAGTGGATCAAAAGCGATGGAGAGTTTCATATCCAAGCAACTATTGAAGCTAATTATCTTGGACCTATGAGTTCATAAGCTCAATTTTTAGAATTATGGCTTAACTTTTAATTTTATATTCTACTAGTTTATGTAAGTGATGTATGTT